TTCTAGAGCCAAAATGGGTAAGGGAGGAAAACACAGATCTCCTATTCATTTAATAAGACAAAAACAATCTACATACAAAAATCAACAAGAATAATTTCAGAAGAAAATTTATATTCCAATCTCAGATATGATCAATTTTATATATGAATGCCAGGTAATAATCTATTATAAAGTATTAGTAAAATGAATCTTGCAATCTGTTAAAATATGCCAAAGCAAAATTATGACAGTTCTGGTCATCCAAAGAATAGATGATTTAAAACTAGCAAATCTATGTCACTTATCAGATTAACAGATGAAAGGAAAAACACCCTAACATCATCTCAGTGATGCAAGAGTCAGTTAATTACAACAATCACCTTAACAACAAACTCTTGGTAATCAGAAATAAAAGGAAATTCTCTAATTGGTTAAAGACATACATTAAAAGATGGCATCACACTAACCTGAAACTACAGAAAACACCACCATTAAAGTCAAACCCGAGACAAAGAAGCTGCTTGTCATCACAGTGACTAAACATTGCAATTAAAGGCTGTAACTGTATAAGGGGGAAACGAGCATATATGAAAACTGTGAAGGGAAACACCCAAAGCTGGTCATTATTTGTGGATAACTGTAGAAAATCTAAAAGAATCTACAAGTTATTTTGAACTAATAAAAATTTAGCAAGATTTCTAGTCAGGACAAATACAGAAAACTAATTGTGGAATCTAAAAAAGAGCACCAACTAAAAATGAAAAGAACTATCATTTGTAATAACAAAAGAATTCACAAGGTGCCTAGGAATCAACATAGACAGTGGGTAAGTGAATATTATAATACTTTGTAACAGACATATACAAAAACCTAAAACAATCGAGGAGGACTCTATATATGAAGAGGAACATTTCATGCTATAAACATAAACTTGTCCAAAATTAATCTCTACATTCAGGGTAGGTCCACAAGTCTGTGTTTGTGAAATTTTGTTTGATGTGTATACAGGTATGACTACAAAGCAGAAAATAAACTCTAACAATCCTATGGAAAAACGAATAGCCAAAATAGGAGCCAGACATGGTGGTACATGCCTGAATTCCTAGCACTCAGGAGGCTGAGACAAGAGGATCACCAGTTTCAGGCCAGCTTGGATAGCAAAGTGAGTTCAAGGCCAGCCTGAAGTACACAGAGAGACTCTGTTTCAAAACTCAAAAACAAAAAAATGGCCCAGATAATTTTAGAGAAAGAATTATAATAGACTTTTCTCCACCAGAAATTAACTTCTTACAAGATAAAGTGTTTAAAATGAAGGAGTCAAAAAACATCTCGAAACTTCATTTGGAAAGTCACCAACTTTGTCAAAGATTTCTAGATTTGGACCAAGTGCCCATGTAATAAATAATGACTTACACATAATCCTACATTTCTAAACAATGGGTTAAACAGAACATCCTAAAAGCTTCCAAAGATAGGTTAGAAAGATTATAATGGAAGAACTGAAAATCAAAACGGCATCAGATTCTCAACACAACACCCTAAATAAAAGGACAATATAAGAATATTTAAATTCTAAGAGAAAAATCATTTAAAATCTAAATATTTTGTCAAAATTATCAATCACATGTGAGGGTAGGAAGGAAGGCAATTTTCAGACATGGAGTACTATGAAATATTTACTTCCACTGAAGCCTTACTCAGACAACTACTGCCAATGAGAAGGACAGATAAAGATTCTAGAAAACAGGATTCAGCACTAGAGATAACACAGTGAATTCCCACAGAGGGTTGGTGGGCTGTCTTTCTAACCCTACAGCACAGTCCAGATAGAACAGGGCAGGGCAAGGCTCCAATACGGGTATCTTCAAGAGAAAGGGCTAAGGTCTTACTGAGTCAGAGAGAAAGAAATCACTAAATTACTTAATGGGTCATGGAGAGTTTGGGAATAAATTATTAGGAGTCACACAGAAATCTAAGCAATGCAAAGTGGTCACTTACTCTAGGGAGAACAAAATGTTGAAGCAAGGAAAAAGAATTAAAATAAATTGCATGGGACACCTGTGAATATTAGTATCACAAAGATATCTGAACAAGATTTAAGTACAGAATGTATGTTAATTACATTAGGAAGATAAAGAGGAAGTGTATTGGTTGGGCAAGAGGGAATTAAGAAACCTGAATCTCTCTAGCAGGCATTTAAAAGAATCTAAAAGTAAATAATCAAGAGACAGCAGCACAAATAATGACAATATGGAATATTTAAATAAATGAAATTTCAGAAGGTCTGTCTCTAAGAAAAGACATGTGGAGGTTGAAAACATTAGGGTAAAGGAATGGTTTTTTGTCGCCTTCCTAAAATATGTAGGTATCACTTTATGTGTGTGTGTTTGCACATGTGCGTGCATGTATATGTGCATGTAAAAAGAATGTTACATTTCATTATAATGTTTTACACAGAGGTCCAAACATACATGGCAAAGTCAAGAGAACTATTTTGAGATCACCACCAAGTGTACTAGGAACAAATTTTAAACATCATCCTACTGTCAAATAAAATAAGAATGAAAGACAGGGTATATGCAGTTATTGTGCACTGCAAACACATCAATGCATAGTCACTGCATACTACAAACATGTACTAATAAATTTTTTTTTTTAATTAAAAGATAATGAGGACGGGTGCAGCAGCAGACACCTGTAATTCTAGCACTTGGGAGGTTGAGGCAGGAGGATCACTAGAAGTTTAAGGCCAGCTTGAATTACATAGCAAGACATGTCTCAAACAAACAAACAAATAAACAAACAAACAAAATGAATTACTGTGAAGTAATAAATGTAAGGGGAGGAAACACAAAGACAGGAAGAGTACTCATCACATTCTAGAATGTACAGGGATGTAGAAGGGTAGACATCAAGCTCTAGGAGAGGAGCCCTGGCTTGGAGTCCAAGGAGACTTGTAACATTCAGGACTGGGGTATCACTACCACTGCCATGAAATTATTTTTCAGTGTAGCTCCCTCTTCTCTAGAATTGTGAGCTATAACTTCCAAATGCCAAAGACTATCTGACTTTATTTTGTATTTTCTCAAATGAGCAAGACCTCCATGCTATTCACCTCGTCATGCCTGGCCACGCTGCTTCCCACTTTGTGCTTCACACAGTTACCCTAGAGCAGTCTAATTCCATATACTCCTCTCCCATTGTTTGTATGACTATGACTGTATCGTTTCTTCTATGTCATAAACCTCACACTGCAATCTTAATTGTTTTTGTTTGTTTGTTTTGCAGTCCTAGAGATCTGAACTCAGGGCCTTCACGCTGGGTTCCAACCCCCTGACCTTTTCCAAATTTTATGTCTACACAAAGTCTTGCTAAGTCACTAAATTGTGCAGGCTGGACTCAAACTTACAGTCCTTCTGCCTCAGTGTCCAAGGGTGTTATCAATACATGCATACATTATGCCTGGAACAATCTTAGTATTTTTCCATTTAACAATCAGATGCCTTTTATGTGAAGCTTTTTAATTTAGCAACTTATTTATCATACTTGATATCCTGTAAACCTAAGAATATAAATGGCATCATTTCCTTTGGTTGAAGACATTCCTTAGCATCCAAAGCCTGCTACAGATTAATTCCCTCATCTTTTCATTTATTGGAAAATGCCTTGCCAGATATGGTTGTGCATGCCTGTAATCTCGGCACTTGGGAGGGTGAGGCAGGAGGATCCCTGCAAGTTTGAGGCCAGTGAGTTCAAGACCAGCCTGAACTACATAGTGAGACCCTATCTTAAACAAAACAAAACAAAAACAACAACAACCCAAACTCTTGGATCTTATCAGGGTCTGGATTTAAGCTGTGAGATAGGTTACAGTAGGTTTTAAGTGTATAAAGATAAGTATAAAGGTGTTAAATGGCTGTCTAGAACTAAAACCACAAGGTCTCCTAGCACTTTATCCTCCATCACTGCTTGATCTCTGTGGCAGAATTCCAGGTTTACATGGATTTCTCCATTTGGTTTGATTTTTTTTTTCTTTTTCTGGTACTAGGAATCAAACTCACAACCTTGCATTTGCCGTGCAGGCACTGTACCACTGAGCTAAATCCCCAGGGGCAAATCTCTCTATTTGGAAAAATTCACATGATCTTGCAGTATATATGTACTGCTCAACCTTTGTGAGGCAACCCCATATGAACACTTTAGACTGTGTCACTACATGATTCCTACCTCTCCAATGCCAGTCCCTGCAGATTCCAGCTAATCAAACTTTGGTCTCTTCTAAACTCTGAAGAAATGCTTCACTCTGCTCGAACTCTAGCTATCTGAAGAAGCATCAGTAACTTTCCCAATTCCAGGCAATTATGAAGTACACCTCAAGAGTTCATTTCTGTCAATGATAACACTTATGCCACTTGTCATTCACTGCTTAAAAACAGATGTCTCTTAGACTTGTTCATATATAACAGGAGGGCTAATTTGGTTTTAATTATTTTTTTTCAACATGACCAAAGGCAAGGGCAATAATCTTTTTCTTTATAAGTTAACTCACTGAAGTTAAGCAAAAGGGGGCATAAAGCCAATAGAGGGCTTTCTGAAAAAAGATTAACTTGTTGAACACTGTCCCTCAGGATTACTACATAATTTGGAAAGAAAAAAAGAAATAAAAGTGAGGATGCAGTTGAATTTTCTTTTCCACGTGAGACTTATTTTCCTTCCTCTTCTGAAAACTTAGAAATATCTCAAGTTCAACAGCAAATAGTTACCAATTAAAGGAGCAGTGAGCAAGGTTATCAAAACATTAATCTCCGAATAATTGAAGCAGATGAAAAGGCTTATGACTTCACAGGCAGGCCCTATTATGAGTATGTGCACACACCTTTATAAAGGAGGTGGAACAGACAGACAAATGGGTGGCTGGATAGATAGATAGTATAAACAGATGGTTTCTAAAATAAAGAAAGGAGGCATACACCAAGGGAAATGCCTGTGGGTCAAATAATTTTGGATTTATCTTTATTTACCGTTCCATCTTCCATCAGCTTCAGACAAGATCCAAAATCTGCTAACCGAATATGTCCATTCATATCCATCAATATATTGTCAGGTTTAATGTCTCTGAAAAAAAATTCAATTGTTAGTTGGGAAAATAAACAATCACTTGCTAAGATAATCTTTTGTTTTCTGCAAATCTCATCTTCTTCTAAATGTAATACTCTAAGAAAATCTACTGAACTACTTTATGAGTTCAATTCCTGGCTGTCATTCTTATTTAAACTTTCTTAAATGCATTAAATTTCAGTATTCTCCTACAGATAAAAAGGACTGTGGTTTCTGGTTAAATCAATCTTATCGTATTTCTTTTAGGTTTTATACAGTTTCCACTGTGGCTATGGTAAACCTACCTTCTGTACACAAAGAAGAATCATAATTACCTAATACCCACAAAAAATAACATTATCTAGCTTCTGATATTGGATAGAAAAAAATGTATTTCTTAGACACCAATCATAACTCCAGATACATAAATTCTTGAGTACTACAGATCATCAAAACACAGAGGAACTGCTTCATAAAGCTGATTCTGCAACTGCTGAAACAAATATGTAACAGATTATACAATTTAAAGCTTTAACTATTTCTCCATGTTAAGTCAATGGTTCGCAAGATACCCAAATCTGAGTAATAAATTATACTGTACCAGCTTTTGTATTTGTTTTTACACCTCAATACAAAATTTGGCAAAATATCACACATAAAATGACTTGTAAAGAATATTCTTGGGGTTGGGCATAGTGGCACAACTATAATCCCAACACTCTGTAAGGATGAGGCAAAGAAAAGGAGAAAAGGAATTTTCTACAAATGGTGTACAGATCTATGTTTTTCAAAAGTTCTCTTGCTATGTGGTAAGTGAGATTGCAGTAGCCACTTTAACCCAAATGATATCATTTTAAATTCTAAGGTGGCTCTGTGGTGCAATGGATAGTGCATCAGACTTATAAAGTCTCTCTGCCTCAGTTTTCCCACCTGTAACAAGAGTACATTATTGGTACTATTTTCATCACTAAACAGTTTCTGTGAGTGTACTGAATAACACTGAATGGCAAGCTGTGGCCCATGGGTCAGTACAGCTTGCTGCCTGGATTGGCACAAGAAAACCTGCAGTGATGAAAACATTCTTGACTGGGATCCACAGTTATATCCAGTACGCTGTCAAAACCCATCACTGTATATTTAACACCCAAACATGTTATCATATATAGCTCAATTTTCAAAATAAGGAGAGTAAAAGGTAAAATCTACCTTTAAAATATGATACTGGCGTCTTGAACTTTTCATTAGCTTTCATTTCTTAAAATATGCTTAGTTTACTCAGATAATTTCTTCTAAAGTAGCTTATATTTTTCTAAACAAATACATGTTATCCATGTTTTAAAATTTATTAGAATACAGTTATTCATAGTGTTTTGGTTTCTAAAATCCATATTTGCAGTTCCTCTTTTCTCCCCAGTACTGGGGATTGAACCTAAGGTGGTTCACATGCTAGGCAAGCACAACACTGTATCACTGAGCCAGATCCTTAACTCTTCCCTGCCACCCCCCTTGTATTTAGTATGCTGAGATAGAATCTTGCCCAGGCTGGGATGGATCTTGGTTTATAGCCCAGGCAGGCCTCTGGGTATATGGTGGGCAGAAATGTCCTACCCTTTCTTTCAATGAAGGCCTTGCCCTAGATATCAGCAGAGAGCTGAATGTCAGTCACTTCACAGTTGCAGTGAACTTCCTCCCCAAAACACCTTCCTTTCATGGCAGAGCCCATATACCATAAATGACTCATGTGGAAAGGCAAATATCAGGTTATACTGACCAACACCAAAAGCCCATCACCTCTCCAGAACTCCCACTGGGGTGTGTTGAGGCTTTGGCCTGCAGTGTAATCTGATTTCTTGCTCCACCCAATCCTGCTTCCTCTGACTCCCTGCCACAGTGTTAATCCATAGTAAACACCCTGCACAACACAGTCTGACTTGAGGCCTGCTTCTGGACGACACAGTGTTTGATAAGTGGAACAATGAGACAACAAATTCCAATTTCTGATATAAGAAGCAAAATAACATCTGGCTTTCAGATCCACTCTGAGTCAGCCACATTTGCAAATAAGGTGGCAGCTGGCCAACCAGATACCAAGCACTGTCAATAAAGGAGTAAAAGGAAGGTTCAGGCAAACACGAGCTCTGACCTCGACAATCTAAGAAAACTAACACATAGAAATGTTTAGAAAAGATAAAACCTCTACCACTATAAACCATTATGTATTCAAATTTCTTCCTAATTTGAATACGAATCAAACCACTTATCGGTAATTTCTCTTGTCTTTAAGCAGACGTAAATACCTTTTGGCTTAAAAAGAACAACAGCATTTTAAAAAACAACAAATCAAAATTCCTATGTAGAACAATACATACTTTTATTTGTAACAGTTAAGAATTTTAAAAAGTATTCTGTAACAATAACTACACTGAAAGGGAGCCCAAAACATGATTATTATAAATATTATCCCTGTAACAGGGAAATGTGAATTTTCTTTTTTTTTTTTGTACTTGGGATTGAACCCAGAGCCTTGAGCTACACACCAGCCCTTTTTTATTGTTAATTTTGGGACAGGGACTAGCTAAATCGCCGTCCCAGCTGGGCTTGAACTTGGGTTCCTCCTGCCTCCACCTCCCAGTGTACTAGTAAAACTCTTTCTTCATCTCCCCACAACCTGCCCTGGGATCACTGTTCACCCTCAACTGTGCTGCCCTACAGCATACAAAAGCTTCTGCAGGTACCAGTTGCATTCAGCAGCTAGGAAGCAGGGAAAGCCATGGGTATTGTGCCTTTAGCCAAAAGCAAGCAGCTGCCTTCCCTCCGGAAGCTTGCTTTGGGATCATTTCTGTTGGACTGTATGTAACCTTGATATGCAGTCAGCGGAGAAGTTTTGCCAAAGAAAGGGAAAAAAACCCACATTAGTAAAATCATGTTACAGATAGCTTTTTATCTGTGAAAAACTAGCCTTTTTTTTTTTTGGCTTTATACCGCTCATCCTCCTCCTTGCTTCAACCTCCTGAATGCTGGGGTTACAAGTATGAACCACCATGTTCAGCAAAAATTAGAAATCTTAATGGAATCAATTTACACCCCACCTTATAATTCAGGATACAGTTATTCACAAGATTTTGCCAAACATTTCTCAACTCCTCTTTTCCACTGCATAGGAAACTTTTAAGAAGTCTATGTAAATAATAAAAAACTAATGATCATACAACCCCAGATATTGTAATAATTGTTGTATAAATAAGTGTTATTGTAAAAAAACAGAGCTAATTCTTCAAAAAGTCATCTGTGAACACTGATAATGTAACTCAAAGAAAGATTACTATGAAATTCAAATGATGCGTAATTATGGGAATAATCTTTGAATACAGTAAACACAACTCTACAGGAAATTGAAAGAAAAGCAAAGAGACCATGAGAAAAAGAAGAGATGAACAGGGAGTCAGGGGACAGTAAAACACAATTAAACCACTACCCACTGCCACACGTGGTTGCACACAACTGTAATTCCAGTTCGAGAGACTAATAAAGGAGGATGGCGGGAAGTTCAAGGCCAGCCTGGGCTACACAGTGAGACAGTCTCAAAAACCAAACCAAACCACCCAAAAAAACCACTATGCACTGTCACCAAATAAGTCTTATTATAACTAGGATAAGATGCAGTAATTGAAGGAAACTGAGTGAAGGATACACAAAACTTTTCTGTACTACCTTTGCAATTTCCTGTGACTCCATAACTATTTCAAAATAAAAAGTGTTCACAAGCCAAAAAATCACTATGAACACAGTTATAGAATTATAGCTCCTTCTTAGCTTGTTACACATTAACATATTTCATGCTTACTGTACTTAATATTTGCATTTAAAGTGTCCCTTAAAAGAAAAACTATTCAAGAATCAATCATTGGAAACTGTAGTGTGCTTTATAAGAAACCTAAAAGACTGAGAGAAATTTCCTTTTACAGATCTTGTCCCTCAAGTGTCCTCTACTACCTCTGACCCAAGATAAATCCACCCCATGGATAAATCCCATCTGGCTAACCAACAGCCAATAAACTGTAAGAGTAATTGCTTTCTTTTCTGAGAACCACTTTTGACAAAATATTTCCCCAGCTGACTTTTCTTGCCAAAGTCTTTAAAAAATGATGTTACAGAGTGGATCAGCATATTTCCTTTTATCTATCCTTACCCTGTACTCTCTCTTAAATGACAGATATATTCGTACTCTGTCATGAATAGAATACTAAATGTAGATGCCCAGACAAATAGGACTATTTTGGTATGAGAGTGTCTTGGCTAAAACCCAGGGTGTGGTCTGTTTAGTGAACAACTAATCTTACCCGAGAGGTCAGCTGTTATCCTTAGCTACTGGGAGGTGATCTCTAGGACCTTGAAATATCATGGTTGTGAGGGTTAAGCTTAATTATCAACTTGATTGGCTTGGGGGCCACCTAGTGGAGTTGGTAAAGCACACCTCTGGGTGTCTGGGTGGGTCATGGAAGTGTGACCCTGGGTCTATATCTGGTCTGTCGTCCCTACCTCTCTGGTGCTGTTCCTTTGCTCTGCTCTCTGGCCGCCATGAACTGAGCACCTTCACTCCACCACATCCTTCCATCATGATGTTTCTGCTTTGGAGCCAATGGATCATGTACTGAAACCACTAGCTACACTGGCCATTTCCTCCTGTCAGTGGTGGGTGTCAAGTATTTGTTCCTAGCAAGGGGAAAGTTGACTAATACACTGACTGATATGAGTGTTGTTGGCTACCAGACAATCTAATAATGTAATTTATAATGAACATAACTTTCATCTGGAAGGGCATGGAGACTAATGTCAGCTCACCTTCTAGGGAAGGCTGGAGACTAAGGACAATCATATAGGCAGTAATTGATTCCCCCTCCCCCCCCCAACCCCCAAAACGCCTCTGGAAATCAAATGCTCAAGTGTTCTTCCCCGGTTGGCAATACTCACTTACATGTTAGGCTATACTACCACTACTAAGAGAAGACAACAGAAGC